ACGCCTTGAAAAACAAATAAAAGCCACAGAACCCGAAATATGGCCAAAAATGGGAGAAAAAAATTAAATTTCGTAGATTCTATCTGAAATGACGTATAAAAGTACAACTCACGACGAGAAAATCAAAGGTGCAAACTAGACGTCAATTCGACTATTAGTTTCGAAATTAGACGCTTGAAAACAAAAGAAACCCAGAACCCGAAATATGGCCAAAAATGAAAAAAAAACTAAATTTCGTAGAATCTATCTGAAATCACGTATACAAGTACAACTCACGACGAGAAAATAAAAGGTGCAAGCAAGACTTCAATCCGACTATTAGTTTCGAAATTAGACGCTTAAAAACAAATGAAGCCCAGATCCCGAAATATAGCCAAAAATTAAAAAAAAACTACATTTCGTAGTATCTATCTAAAATCACAGATACGAGTACAACTCACGACGAGAAATTCAATGGTGCAAAGTACACTTCAATCCGACTATTAGTTTCGATATTAAACGCTTGAAAAAAATGAAGCCCAAAACTCGAGATTGAAGCCAAAAATGGAAAAAAAATTAATTTCGTAGAATCAATCTAAAATCACCGAGAAGAGTACAACTCACGACGAGAAATTCAATGGAGCAAACTACACTTCAATCCGATTATTAGTTTTAAAATGAATCATTTAAAAACAAATAAAGCCCAAAACCCGAAATTCGGGCCAAAAATTGAAGAAATCTTAATTTCGTAAAATCTATCTGAAATCACGAAAAAAAGTACAACTCACGACGAGAAATTCAATGGTGCAAACTACACTTCAATCCGAATATTAGTTTCGAAAAGAAACATTTAAAAACAAATAAAGCCCAAAACCCGAAATTCGGGCCAAAAATTGAAAAAATCTTAATTTCGTAGAATCTATCTGAAACCAGAAAAACAAGTACAACTTATGACGAGAAATTCAATATTGCAAACTAGACTTCAATCCGACTTTTAGTTTCGAAATTAAACACTTGAAAAAAAATGAAGCTCTAAACCCGAAATTTGGGCCAATAATTGAAAAAAACTTAAATTCGTAGAATCTATCTGAAATGGCGTATACAATTAACACTCACGACGAGAAATTAAATGATGCAAACTGACTTCAATCCGACTATTAGTTTCGAAAACACACCCTTAAAAACAAATGAAGCCCAAAACCCGAGATATAGGCCAAAAATTGAAAAAAAGTAAATTTCGTAGAATCTATCTGAAATGGCGTATACAATTAACACACGACGAGAAATTCAATGGTGCAAAGTAGACTTCAATCCGACTATTAGTTTCGATATTAAACGCTTGAAAAAAATGAAGCCCAAAACTCGAGATTGAAGCCAAAAATGGAAAAAAAACTTAATTTCGTAGAATCAATCTGAAATCACCGAGACAAATACAACTCACGACGAGAAATTCAATGGTGCAAACTACTCTTCAATCCGACTATTAATTTCAAAATGAAATATTTAAAAACAAATGAAGCCCAAAACCCGAAATGTGGGCCAAAAATTGAAAAAAACTTAATTTTGTAAAATCTATCTGAAATCACAAAAACAAGTACAACTCACGACGAGAAATTCAATGGTGCAAACTAGACTTCATTCCGACTACTAGTTTCAAAATGAAACACTTAAAAAAATGAAGCCCTATACCCGAAATTTGGGCCAAAAATGGAAAAAAAGTAAATTTAGTAGAATCTATCTGAAATCACCGAGATAAGTACAACTTACGACGAGAAATTCAATAGTGCAAATTACTCTTCAATCCGACTATTAGTTTCAAAATGAAACATTTAAAAACAAATGAAGCCCCAAACCCGAAATTTAGGCCAAAAATTGAAAAAAACTTAATTTCGTAAAATCTATCTAAAATCACGAAAACAAGTACAACTCACGACGAGAAATTCTATGGTGCAAACTACACTTCAATCCGAATATTAGTTTCGAAAGAAAACATTTAAAAACAAATAAAGCCCAAAACCCGAAATTCGGGCCAAAAATTGAAAAAAAACCTAATTTCGTAGAATCTATCTCAAATCACGAATACAAGTAGAACTCACGACGAGAAATTCAATAATGCAAACGAGACATCAATCCGACTATTAGTTTAGAAATGAAAACTTTAAAAAAAATTAAGTCCCAAACCCGAAATTTGGGCTAAAAAAATTTAAAAAACTTTATTTCGTAGAATCTATCTGAAATCACGAATACAAGTACAACTCACGACGAGAAAGTCAATGGTGCAAACTAGACTTCAATCCGACTTTTAGTTTCGAAATTAAACACTTGGAAAAAAATTAAGCCCTAAACCCGAAATTTGGGCCAATAATTGAAAAAAACTTGATTTCGTCGAATCTATCTGAAAATATGTATACAAGTACAACTCACGATGAGAAATTCAATGGTACAAACTAGACTTCAATCCGACTATTAGTTTCAAAATTAAACGTTTGAAAACAAATGAAGCCCAAAACTCGAGATTGAAGCCAAAAATGGAAAAAAAACTTAATTTCGTAGAATCAATCTGAAATCACACCCGATACAAGTACAACTCACGACGAGAAATTCAATGGTGCAAACTAACTTCATCCGACTATTAGTTTCGAAATTAAACGCTTAAAACAAATGAAGCCCAAAACCCGAAATTTGGGCCAAAAAATGACAAAACTTTCATTTTGTAAAATCTATCTGAAATCACAAAAACAAGTACAACTCACGACGAGAAATTCAATGGTGCAAACTAGACATAAATCTGACTATTAGTTTCGAAAACAAACCCTTAAAAACAATAGAAGCCAAAAACCAGAGAAATAGGCAAAAAAGGGGAAAAAAGTAAATTTCGTAGAATCTATCTGAAATGGCTTATACAATTACAACTAACGACGAGAAATTCAACGGTGCAAACTGGACTTCAATCCGACTATTAGTTTCGAAATGAAACACATGAAAAAAATGAAGCCCCAAAACCCGAAATTTGGGCCAAAAATTGAAAAAAACTTAATTTCGTAGAATCTATCTAAAATTACGAAAACAAGTACAACTCACGACGAGAAATTCAATGGTGCAAACTAGACTTCAATCCGACTTATAGTTTCGAAATGAAACACATGAAAAAAAATGAAGCCCTTGACCCGAAATTTGGGACAAAAATTGAAAAAAACTTAATTTCGTAGAATCTATCTGAAATCACGCATATAAGTACAACTCACGACAAGAAATTCAATGGTGCAAAGTAGACTTCATTCCCACTATTAGTTTCGATGTTAAACGTTTGAAAAAAATGTAGCCCAAAACCCGAGATAAAGGCCAAAAATGGAAAAAAAGTAAATTTCGTAGAATCTATCTGAAATCACGAATACAAATACAACTCACGACGAGAAATTCAATGGTGCAAACTAGACTTTAATCCGACTAATAGTTTCGAAAACAAACTCTTAAAAACAAATGAAGCCCAAAACCCGAGATATAGGCCAAAAATGGAAAAAAAGTAAATTTCGTAGAATCTATCTAAAATCACGGATACAAGTACAACTCACGACGAGAAATTCAATGGTGCAAAGTACACTTCAATCCGACTATTAGTTTCGAAATTAGATGCTTGAAAACAAATGAAGTTCAAAACCAGAAATTTGGGCAAAAAATGGAAAGAAATCTTTATTTCGCTGAATCTTTATGAAATCGCGTATACAAGTAACCCTCAAGACGAGAAATTCAATGGAGCAAACAAGATTTCAATTCGACTATTAGTTTCGAAATGAAACACTTGAAAACAAATGAAGCCTAAAACCCGACATTTGGGCAAAAAATGGAAAAAAAACTTCATTTCGTAGAATCTATCTTAACTCGCGTATACAATTACAACTAACGACGAGAAATTCAATGGTGCAAACTGGACTTCATTCCGACTATTAGTTTCGAAATGAAACACATGAAAACAAATGAAGCCCAAAACCCGAAATTTGGGCAAAAAATGAAAATAAACTTAATTTCGTAGAATCTATCTGAAATCGCGTATACAATTATAACTAACGACGAGAAATTCAATAGTGCAAACTAGACTTCAATCCGACTATTAGTTTCGAAATTAAACGCTTGAAAACAAATGAAACGCAAAACCAGAAATTTGGGCCAAAAATGGAAAAAAAAACTTTATTTTGCAGAATCTATATGAAATCGCGTATACATGTACAACTCAAGACGAGAAATTCAATGGTGCAAACTAGACTTATATCCGACTGTTAGTTTTAAAATTAAACGCTTTAAAACAAATGAAGCCCAAAACCCGAAATTCTGGCCAAAAATGGAAAATTAACTTAATTTCCTAGAATCAATTTGAAATCACTTATACAAGGACAACTCACTACGAGACATTCAATTTTGTTCCATTAATTCTAAAACGATGATACACGACTTTTTAAAAAAAAGACAGAACCTGATTATTTGCTTCATGTTGTCTGATGAGTGATCGAAAACGAGGAAGGATGTGATACCTTAAACAAAAGCGATCTATTCGGCAACCTTATTGAGACCCTTTAGCCGTTACAGTTCGGATGGTTAAGCGCCAATGTAAATTTCGATTATTAACTTACGTTATACACCTCTAACCAGAATTGGAATGACAGGCGATTGAGTTTACTCACGAGAGTATCTTACGTTTAAACTTACACTACAGTAGAACAAAAAAAGATGTGGCGCCCCTCATTGTGAAGAACACTGGCCATTAGGGGACCGGAAGCTTAATTGACTACGGTACTATTATCAAAATACCAAAATTATTACCAAAATTACTTGTTCTAAATAATTACCCCAGCTTGATATTCCGAAACAAATAGTTCCAGAATTGTTTTTTCCCAATTGGTACATATTTGCCACTTCTTACTACATTGGTAAAGGACCGATTGTGGCGTGAGGTCGGCCGTTCGACAAGAGGCCGACTGAAGCGCCGCCGGCAGGCCAGAGCGAGCGCACTCGTACCCGTTCCAGTGCTGGCGGCGCTCGGCCATGTCGCGCGCGCCCGTGTGAAGTGGTCGTTATCACGGCGGCGAGGGCAGCGCGCGTGCCTGGCAGAAGGCCGCGCCGCCGCCGCCGCCGCCGCCGCCGCCACCGCCGCCCCCACGGGCTGCGGGGAAGACGCTGCGGCCAGTGGCGAAGGCGACTCAGTCCCCGCGCGACGCGCTCCCACGCGCAGCGGCACCGGCAGCAACCACTCTGCCTGCACCCCGGACCCTCGCCTCACTCCGGGACGCTCCCCCGCGCGCGCAGCAGCAGCAGCAGCAGCAACAGCGGCGGCTCTTTACGCGGAGATTTACGAGGAGGGCCCTTCTGGACTTTGCCTCGCGCTCGCAACCCGCGACACACCGCATGGTGAGCTCCATGGCTGCTTGCTTTTACTATCATTCTATCTCATCTTCTGTTCATTGCTTCTTCTTGTTGTTGTTGTTGTTGTTATTGTTGTTGTTGTTATTATTATTATTATTGTTGTTGTTTTCGTGGTAGTGGTGGTTGTTGTTCCCATATCTAGATTTCAACGAAAATAAATGATCGAACATTTCCAGACATCGATGTCCGAATTATCAAGATCACCGTTTCAATTTTAATGTGTGTTTTGTCTGTGCATGCGTCGGGCTAATTTTGCGCTATCTGCACGAGCCTGAGGTACTTTACTGAGGCAGGGAATTTACCGTTTCACCTCGCGCCCTTTCCGTCATTTATTAAATAGCATATCACTTCTATTTCTCACGTGAAATTGAGCAAGTGTACAGAGAAACGATTTTATAATGATAATAGGAAATTATCTGCAAAAATATAACTGGAGTGTTTCTAATTTCAAAAATCACAGCCTTCTTACTATATCATATGGTAATTTACGCGATATAAAAACCCATTCAATTGTTTTTACGATTTTTTCCGGTTTCTTCGGGATAATACCTCTAACGTCTAGTTTTATTCAAAAGAAAAATGGGGTTTGCCGGACATAATTTACGCTACTTTTTTTTTGTATAAAGAAGAATGTTTTATTGTCTTTTATACAAATTAGAAAGTTTGTTTGTTTTTTATACAAATTTACTGTTTTATTCCAATCTTAATCAAATTTCATATACATAATCTCTCAAATCTATTGAGATTACACAAAAAGTATCCCTCTCTCTTTCTCGATTTCATAGAGAAACTAGTGGAGGTAAAACAGCACGAACTTTCTCGCCATTACTAAAGGTAATGTAATACTATTTATACCACAACTTCTCTCCGAATTATTTTGTGTAAAACTAATTTGAAATAGTAGAACATTTGGTGCGAAAAATAAGCAGTATGTGAGAAAGTGAAATAATGATTTAATAAATAATACGATACTGACATCGTTGACAAACATGCAAATAGATCGTAAAATATATAATAATTATTAAACACTATGGTATTGTAATATTCTACAAATAATTAAAAGTATTCGTTTTTTATCGCGAACGAAAAGGAGCCGTCATTATCGCCTACTGATATCTGTTGAGCGTTACAACAATGGATATCAACAACCCACAATGGCCGCTCATCTTCTCTTTTAACACAATTAAAGGGCGCAATTTAAAATGAAATAACGTGAATATAATACAAATATAATTAATAATAACAAAATGAAATATGAAATAATACACAAATTCAAACTTACGTAAAACCAACTGAGTAAATTGGGAGAAGGCGTGTGAAGGTTAGCGATCTTTATTTCATATTTATTTCAAATAGGTTTTAAATAATTTCTAAAAGATTAATTTGTAAACGTATAAGAAAAGCTCCAATGAAAGAAACGAACAAAAAAAAATATGAAACACTATACACATTCTAACTAACGTACCATCCAACTGCCTCAAAACGTTTAAAATTACGATCAAGACGCGCGGGATTTTCAGAGCGGGCGACTAACGCTAACTGGGGCGAATAACCCCAAAAATACTCTTATTTTCGAAAAATATAACATGGCCTTCTTTAAAAATCGATGAACATATATCATTAAGAAAAAAATTGTATCTTCATAATTGTAGACGCACAGACGTACGAACAGACGGACGGACGGGCAGACGGACGGTCGTTTTGCCGTCAATCGATTTTTCGGTTAACCCACAAAACAGGGATTCCGGCTACACCAGGTGTTAGAGGATTTTCTTTCTTAAATTTAGCAACTGGATTAATGCACTTTTTCGTTACCAGGACCCTGTAATAAGAGGTTTTCTGCCGAAAATGTGCGAGAACGTAAATATTAATAGTTCACTCTGAATCCATTGCGAGTATTTCGAAAAGGGCGAGGAAATATATTAAAGAACATTTCTCATATCTTAAAGCCCATAAACTTTCTTACTAAATGCTTTTTAATTCATTCCAATAGTGACATTACGCTTTGAGTAATTTCAGGTCACAATTGTAATGGGAAGTTTGCCGGGAGAAGGCAACAATGCATTAACTCACAGCTGCCCACAGCAACGATTGTGGTAGGAACGGTGATCAATGCTAACACATCAGGCCAGAACAGACACGGGGCAGGGCGTGGTCAGTGGGAAAGAGCAGGCTAGCTTTGGGCAGTGCAGCGGCAGTAGGATGCGGTAGGCCAGGACACATTACAAATAGAAAATATTCCTTTTTCTGTCCAATAGCAGAATATAATAGATGCCGAGGAAACGCGACGTACTTCTGCTTATTCCCAATAATATAGTGAAAGAGACGGAATAGTCGGTAAGAAGTACGTAATGTAATGAACGAAACCAAGAAAGGTAGTGGAAAACAAGGAAATAAATCATGTACGTAATGGTGATTTACGAAAACTGGGATTACGAATTTCATGAGCTCTATACGTCTATCATTTGAGAAATTGTTTACTAATCAAAAATCAAAATAAAATGAGAGTATATTTGCTTCTTTACGAGTATGCCATATTTTAGCAGAAAACAATACCAGTGTAGTGATTCAGGTGTTCGTGCATGCGATTATAGAAGAAACTGGCATTCTTGTCTTAAACCTACTTCTCTAACCATTTAAGCTTCAACATTAATAACGAACTTTCATGTACACGTATCACAATTTCATATACAAATATCATTATATCATTTCGTAATTGCTAAATATTCTTAAGCCTCAAATTTAGTAATATACCGCGAATACATTTTGACAAACAGTATAAGGGAAGACAATCACCTCCTTGGATCTTTCCGCTGCCTCCTTCACTATAGATGTTTGGTACACGTCTACAGCGAGCAGAACTGCGAACAGAATATGATCGTGAGGTCATCTGCATGAGCCAGACGTCCGCGCATTTGCTCTTAGCACGTCACAAATTCAAAGGCACATTCTGCCCTGCAAATGCTTCTCACGACTGCCCTGATGACACGATCTACAAAATGTGTGAACGCTGGATTTTGGAAACTTCAAACTAAATTACCCGCAACACTGCAGTCGTTACAGGTTGTCTTACATATTGCGAAACTACGGTGTAATTAATTGTTATCGATAACTCGTAAATATTGTAGGAAAAAGAAACAATACTGATACTTATCGCAACGATTGCATCTGCCACCAAGAGGTTTCCCTAACATAACTATTCATGCTTGATGCTAAGAAATGCAAAGCAACCTTTGTCCACTCAAACGAAAACTACTTCAATAACCACAGAGCATGGGGGCCACGAGGGCAAATGCCGAAGCCAACGTGGTTGTTGCTCTGAGGGCATTCAGTAAAAATGAGTCCAGCGACTAGAGATTCTGACCATTTTGCACCATTCACTCATTTTCCCCGTTCCTGAGAGAAATGCAATTCAGATCGTGTGTTCATTCCTGGCGTGTTGTCAGGCAACGAATTGTCAGAAAACAAGTAAAAATCGCGTATTATTTTCCTGATGAAAGCAGGACCCAAACTTTTCTTGATTAACCAGAAAATACTGTAATATACATATAATTACATGAACATACTGTAACATGAGCACATAACATGGTCTCGTTCAACATGAAAAGTTTTATAGTAGCATGATATGTGTCCTTGTACGTCTGCATTGCACTCAATGAAAGAGTAAACGATTGGACAAGAAACACACTTAAAACTCTCTGCGTAACGAGAGACACATAAATGCTGTCGAAAGTTTCATAATTTGAACCAGCACAAGAATGGTTATCGTACTTTTGCCTTTAGATATACAATGAGAATACGCTCTTAAACAGAATGTTCAATAAAAAAACATCGTATTCGTAGAATATACTTCGCAATAAAACGGAATAGATCCCAATAACATTTGACAGCTAATTGTAATTCTTTTCGAATGTTACTACGTTATTCACGTGGGTTACGCAATCAAATTTCTTCACGTTGCTAAGGAACATTAATATTAAAATAATTTTACACATAAATTGAATGTAACTAGGAATTAATTACTACTACATCCACATGTTTCCATAGCTCTACGACCCCATGCACAAACCGCGAGAGGTGGCTCAGGCCATCAACTGATGCCAATGCAGTGCCTCTGACCGGGAGGTCCTAGTATCGAATCCCGACGACAGCAGGATTTTCGATACTAGCGTGTCAGTTAGGTCGGATTCAGTCAGTCTGGAAGAGAATTCCAACGGCCGGTAGTTTTCCGTGGTTTCTCCTATCAACACTAAGCGAAAGCCGGAGTAACACCCTTACAAACGGGCCACGGACCGCGAGCGATCTTTCCTACCTCTTCCTTGTCATATACTCACCCCTTACACGCGCACTACACTACCACACATGCCGGGAAACTGGCCGGGAAATTAGAGCTTGTCCCGACTGAGGCGGTACCCCGCTGGTGGGAGATGCCTGGTTGGCGTGAAACCCCGCTAGCCGACGGTAGGTCGGCGCCGGTTCTCGACGTCCAGCGGGAAAATATCACCGCCACCTCAAGAGGGGAAACATACATTACACTTACGGGACTAATAAAGTTAAAAATTGACGCGTCTGGAATCACAAAATATCTATCAGTTAATGCATAATAACACCCTTATCACAATGATACATTTCAACAGTGCGTTTCAATCTGTCAGTAATTTATGATGTGTTCCGAGTGCATCTGAAAGGTTGAGCTTTATCTTCACTTTCATTTACATTGTGAAAGAAGCGTTACACTACCATTGCACACATTCGAGATGTAAATCAGTAGGTTCATAGTAATAACTTTTTATGAATGCGCATTAACGAGAGCGTAGACCTGGAGTCGAAGGGAGGAGGGGGCAAAGGAGTCATGTCCCACTTTGTAAAAGGTGGCATGTCGAAAATCGCACAATTTGAGAGGTTATATCGTTGAATTGGTAGATTTTTTAAAACAGAAAGGAATTGCATATATCTCACTAACTATGATTAGTATTTCAATTCTGGAGGCAATATAAGTGTTTAAAATTTAATGTAGTTTTAGAAAATGCCACCATTTGCTATAGTAGGATATAAAAAAATATTTTTTATAGTTTATTTTAGATAATTTGAATTTTACTTTTGAAACTGTGTTAATTGAAATTCTAGGTGAACATTTTTAATTTGCGAGAATTGTCATCGAATTCATTTTAATTTACAAATAAAAACAACGGACATGTAAACTGGTTTTGTCATGTCATTTTATATCTTTTAAATGCATTACATAAAAATATGGAATGACATTCACGAAACACACAAAGAAACACGACACACACGAAGACCTGTTCTTTCCCGCAAAGACTGAATACAAAAACCTTTTTGTAGAGAATACAAAGTGGCACAGACTTTCCCGCAATAGTTTTTTAATCTCTTTAGTATAGACTAGCTTTTGTAGCGTTTATTCCATCCTCTTCTCAGCTGCTACCTATCGCCGCCTAAGACAGATTTTTTCGCAGTATTCGAATTTTTAGGTTCCCTATTAGTCAAATAGAAATATGACTTTAAGAATATTATTAAAGAATAAAACAGGGCCATACATCCAAATTTTCATTTACAAAATTGGAACCATTTTTTTTTTTACAATTTTTTTTTATTTTAAATTTCAGTTGAACTGCTTTAATCTCCCCTTCTTCAGCTTTGTTCTATTTGTGATAGTACAACTTTTCGATTTTTCAACAAGGTATATGCTAATTTTCTTCATTATTTCTAATAGATTACCATATCCCAGGTTCCATTTTCATCATACATCACAGTTCTGCTTCAAAATACCGCCACTAATCATTTCCTTAAGGTTGTCATTTCAACTCAGATATTCTTTGTTGGTTCTTCTTACTCCTATTATTGCATTTTATAACATTTTTAGCATAACTTTCAGCTTAATTACTTACATCAGGACAAACATTTTTCAATATGTTTTTGCATTCTGCGAGTTTTTGCATTGTTATAAACTATGGAAGTATAATAACGGAAGGTTCTGACGCATTTAGCTTGATTACGTTTGGAGTAGAAGGAATGTAGAAACTATTTTTAACGCATTTTTAACGCATTTTTAACACGTTTTTAACGTTTGACTAGTTTTTGCAGTAGAATTTACACGAAGATGAAATTTACATAGAATTTAGAATTTTGCCAAAATCATGAATTAATTTTTTTTTAAGTTAATGGAAATACAACCATACAGATAAATAAAACTAAGAGACAACAAAATAAAATGCAAATTTCATTGCAAATTTACAAACAGGCTTAATTCGTAACTATGGAGAGCATTTGAAGCCCAGGGAAGTCGGGATAGCTGGGGTGGTGTCAACTATAGATCAAGAAGTAACAGCGATCTATCAAGATTACTAGTAATATTAATGTTTTTGGAATCTCAATTTTACTTTCCCGTATACATACGTATATAAGGAGTAAAAAGTACTATAGAACAAATTATGTAATGTTGCGCAAAAGAAAAAATGGCGGATTTTCGGCAGAAAAAATACATTGCCGGACCCTGATAACAAAACTGTGGATAAAGTCAGTTGCTAAATTAAGAAAGAAATCCTCTAAGACGTGATGTAGCCACAAACCCTATTTTGTGGGACCTTGATACCGAAAAATCAAATGACGGTTTCGCCATCATCAGTTTTCTGCTATATGAAGTCACAAAACGACAAAGCTACAAAACGTAGTCGTTTTGTGGCTTCCATACAGCACAAACAGATGATGATGGTTAAGCCATCGAAAGCTGCTATTCCAATAAACAATATTGTTGGCAATGGTAACTCATATAATTATTTCATTTTAAATGCCAACGACACCTCACCACAATATCAAAGTTTCATTGTTTTTAATTATTCCCTAGTTCTTGGGTATCTAACGAAACCATAGACATCCCTCATACGGCCGGAGACTACATAGTTTTCATTCAATTTCTGCGCGCATCGATAATTCGTTAGAACGTACAATTCTGGAAACTGGATATTTCAATATTTCATTCGGAGAGATGAAGGAACATGGTTCGCAAAATATTTTTTTAATTCATATTTCACAATATTTTATAATACACATTCATGAATTTGATTTGTAAAAGTTATGTTAGTTACAGGCATGCTTCCAATATTGTTAAGCTATCAAAATAATGGAACAACTATTATTTATTATAGGAACAGAGAAATTATTTACTATCGGAGAAAGATTTAATTTTCACCGTGAAATGAGGCTATGAAGCTATTACTTTTCCTTATTCGAACTATTTGACAGTCCTCAACATTATGGGAAGATTTTGAAACGTTTGCGTCAAATGCATCCTCTAGTTATACCATACCCAACGAAGGATTGTGCATGTTATTAAACACGTGTAAAAACTCACAGGGTCATTAGGAATGGATCCGTCACGCGTCATAAACTTGCAACTAATATACGCTCACGAGCCGACAGGGCCAGTCACGACAACAAATAAGAAAACAAATACCAACAAAAACCTCTGCCAGCGCTGCAGATGCTCCTCTGGAAGGGAAAATGGGACCTTAGGATATGCTCAGAGTGGTTCCGTGTTTGGCAGAATTCGTGTTCAGTCGCATATGGCCACTTACAAAGGAATGTTACAAACACTCACTAGAAAGCAGAGACGTTAGAACACGCTGCGTCAAACGCAACTCGAATTTCTAAGTCGCTAGAATATCAAAGGTCTAGAATCATTCCGCGGAAAGGAGCACTTTAATTTTCTAAATGAAAACACTATTTTATTGACGTATGAACTATAAACCTGTAGAAGACCCAACAATACTGTCAGAGACAGAACGCCTTCCGGCGGAGTCCGGCAGGTCGAGACGCTGCTTATGCTGCTAATTTCTATCTCGAAACCCTTTGGGGCCTAGCCCTCTACTAGAACACAACGGATAGGACACAACTGGCGAAAACCAAAGGTCACGTCATCGAGATGAAGCAAGGCAGGCAAATTTTATACCTTCTTTTTTTCAGAGCGTTCTGCACACAGGTTGGTGATATGGCTGGATAGCGTCAGTTGCCCCTCAGAGTTCGGCTCTTCCGATGCGGACAAACTACATGACAGGTCTTTTAACTGTTAGACAATTAGCTGACTCTTGCACTCGTAATGTGCGAAAACTGTAGATCTAAGACTCGAGATTCCCCTAAGCAGCAGGACGTTTATAAATAAATGGATGAAACTTTAATAAAAGTGATATTTATTGTTTGGATATAACACAGAATTAATGTTCTCTCTTTTACTTCAGAGAAATGTTCTTTCTTACTTCAGTTATTCGAATAGTTACGGGACATTCTGTGCCATTCGTGTAATACGGGAAAGTCTGTGCCATTTGTAACAGCACTAGTTATAAAATGCACTCACGAAAATTACTGAATGACACACAGCCGATAACACAAATGACACTCTTGGATGGGAACAAGCCTCGGTTGTCCCCTTTGGATTACAAACTGCTAACTAGACTATTATTTACTACTTATCATAGGTACTACGAGTACACAGGAAATTTCCAATGCACGAGTGATATTTAGAGACTATTCCACTATGAAATTACGTACAAAACTGTTACGGAATGTGCCAAATATGAATTATATTGGGTTCGCACAAACCATCGTTTCCTATGATTGATGGATGTACCGCTCATTGTTATTGGCCAGTAGGGATGAGGTAAGAGAAAGCCATAATTTCGGGGGATACACCATTCCTGACTGGTGCATACTAGACGTACACTGAGGTGACAAAAACAATAGGATAGCAATGTCCAAATACACATACGGCAGTAGTATCACATACAAAAGGTATGAAAGGGCAGAGCTGTCATTTGTACTCAATTGATGTGAAAAGGTTTCTGACGTGATTGAGGCCATATGAGAGGAATACCTCATTTCGGGCATAGCCTCTCACCACGGGCAACGCATGGCCAAGGGCCTCCCCCTACTGACGAGCGGCGGCGTTTACACAGAATTGTCAGAGCTAACAGACAAGCAACACCGCGTGCCATTACCCCAAAGTGAACGTTGGACGTACGGCCAACGTATCCGTTAGGGCAGCGCGGCGGAATTTCGCTTTAATGGCTGACTTGCCAGATGAGTAGCGTGGCTTGGTGAGGTGAGTCCCGATTTCAGTTGGTAAGAGCTGATGGTAGGATTAGAATGTGGTTCAGGTCCCACGAGGCCGTGTACAAGTTGTCAACAAGGAACCGTGCAAGCTGGTGATAGCTTCATAATGGTGTGGGTTGTTTTTACATGGCATGAAGTCGGTTCTATGGTCCAACTGATCCGATCATTGGTCTGGAAAGGGTTACGTTCAGTTACTTGGAGCCCATTTGCACCTTTTCATGGACTTCGTGTTCCCAAACGATGGCGATTTTTTGGATGAGAATGGGCCATGACAATGGTCTACAATTTTTCATGAATGGTTTGAAGAACATTCTGGACAAGTCAATTGAATGATTTGGCCACCCACATCACCCACCCACATCACAACATAATCGAGAGGCCAGTTCGTGCACAAAATACTTTCGCAATTACAAATAGAATTAATTTCGCGATTTTGAACGGATACAGAAACAGCATGGCTCAATATTTCTGTAACTGCGAATTCCAACCACCGGTTGAGTCCAATACCGGTTGAGTTGCTGCACCTCGCCAATATAGTCCGACACGGTATTAGGAGGTATTCCATAACTTTTGTCACATCAGTGTACTGGAATAGTGCAATGGGCTTGAGCAGGTGCAACAACGCGGAGACGAGCAGGAGGGCGTGTGTTGCAGGAGGGCGTGGCGCTGTGCGTGGCGCTGTGCGTGCTGCTGTGGCTGCGGCTGGCCCTGCCGGGGGCGGAGGGCGCGGCGCCGGCGCCGGACTACTGCTCGCTGTGCGACGAGCCGGGCAGCCACACCATGTGCGCGTACCCGCACGCGGGCCCCGCCCCCAACTGCTCCAACTACCGGCCCGCGCCGCTCTCCGCGCGCGAGAAGCGCGCCATCGTGCGCACGCACAACCTGGTGCGCCGGCGCGTCGCCACCGGCCGCGCCTGGGTGAGCCCCTGGGGCACGCCCCTTTCGCCCACTTGCGCTACAAGCCATCCAACACTTTACACAAAAGCACAGTCTCCCTTCTTCAAGATGCTGAGGAACAAATGGCCCTCCTCACCAGCCTCACTTCTGAATTAAGTAACTTTTAATTAGTGCAGGAAATACTTTAGCGAGCATACGTTTTTTCAGTTATTGAAGTTATACGGTTAAACAATTTTTATAATTACTTTAATGCATTTGACCACAATGTTTCCTTTCACAGACAGCTTTCTACAAAACAATCGTTTTTATTGTTTACATCACTCATTAAAGTATATTATATATTAGTGAATGACACACAATTTTCCGTTTGCAATGCTTATAAAGTACTTTTTTATTTTATTCAATAAGTAGTAATATTTTGTTAGGAATCAGATGGTTTTAAATGTAACATAGCTCACCGGCCATTGTGAGGAGTAACTGATAAAGAACTACGAAATTTATCGCAACCGGAAACATTGGCTCTCGGCCCACGAGTTATGCTACACAAATCGTTCACCACACTAACAGCACCAGTGACGGAAGCACGCGTCGTGTCCGGCAACACCCAACCCTTGCGTGGCGCGTGCGCGTGCGCAGGCGCGGGCGTCGGGCTTCGGGCCGCAGCCGCCGGCGGCCGACATGCGCCAGCTGCAGTGGGACGACGAGCTGGCGGAGGTGGCGCAGCGCTGGGCCGACCGCTGCCTCTCCTTCTACACGCACGGCCCGCACGACGCCTGCCGCGACCTGCCGCGCTTCCCGGTCGGCCAGAACATCGTCAGCACCGCCTACTCCAAGGTCAGGCGCACACAGCAGGGCGGCTCCAGCCCCACACGCGCCTTTGTCAGCCGAGCAAGTGGATAAATTTCACTCCGAGAATGTTGGCTCTTTCAAAACCACAAAACAAAACGTTGCGAATGAACTTGTTTGTCGTGCTTCCCTCACCTTCATTCATTCGTACCTTTATTTAAAAACTCATCTTTCATTATTTTAAGGGTTTCGCTGCCCTCTTTTTTCTTCGTTCGCAACAGATATTTAAGCATTTTTAATCGGTCTAATTTCTTATAAGTGTAAACATTCCAGTAATATTTGCGACCGAGAAATCAAATTTGCCTTCTACAAGACTTTTCATATATTTTCATTCAAATCCTCGTACCTTAAATGTGATTTAAAAATCGTCATTTTTATATTAAATGCATGAAGTGAATCTTTTTTGAACGTTCGAGTCTGAGATTCCTTTGCCGAAGGTCGAGGTAAAGACAACCAGAAGTGGAAGGAAAAATTATATCACTTAAGAAAATTGTAAATATATTTCTCTACGATCGTTCAAAACTGCTTCAATTACGATTCCTTATTTGTTTCATCTCTGTACAAGGTTATTGAAACAAAGCACCATCTTCGTTCGTCATCTTTGTCCGTAAAGTCTCTTTTACACTTTGACGTGACAATTCCATGAACAAAGCACACTATTCATGGCAATGCGCCACACGTTTGTCACATGCTTTAAAAAAAGGCTAACTTCACGCACGCGTAGCGGCGCGTAACAACCTCCCATATTTACACGATGTAGAAAAATAAACATTGAGGAAATTTGTTGCGTTAATGGCCCTTATTTTCAATGGAGACTTCTGTTTTTCTGTTGTTTTTTACGCAATCATTATTGCGGAAGTTCTTAGCGTACCGTAATCCCGCAAAGCAAATGAGATGCTCATTAGCACTGAACCTTGGAAGCTGTTTTGAACGAAATGCAGAATACAAACATCATGGGCAACACTGTCTCGAAAATGAAATATTATGTCGAAACGTAGTTAGACTAGTCTTCACTAAAACCATTTACTTTTCGATATTCAAAAACAACTAATTTTTCAACTAATTAAAAAAATACATTATCAACTTATGGCGAAATTGGATTTCAGATATTACGTGACTATTTGTACTGTGGCTGCGCATATGTTACATGCCAATAATCGATCCCAGGTACCATTTAAAAAACGAACCATGCATTTATTTTTGTTGCATTTAATCAAATATTTTATCTTAATAGAGTAGAATATTTCAGCTCCCTTGCTTCATAGTTTAGTTCGTCTGCTCGTCCAATATTTACAACTAATCTACAATATATAATTTACAAAATTCTGTAGAGGGACAACTAGATGTTAGGAATAAGTGGTTGTGCGAGAGAGAGCGGTGTACTTGATGGTAAGCATAATGCGATTCGACTGGATGATTAGCATTCTTAACAGTTTTCGTTGGGTTTCCCGATTTTGCAGATCTTTCACAAGAATCTTTCAAGAACTTCACATATTTCATGAAAAAATTTAAGAACCAAAATATTGTGTTGTTGAAATCGTTGAGGTCGTTTCTAAGCAAGTGTGATTTTCAACTTGCGTGAATGTAATTACTTCCCCCAACGAGCCATACGGTAAAATTGCTTAGTCATACTTAATTAAATGTGTCTTCGTATAAAGAACTCTTATTAGTTAGCTTAAATATCTATAGAAAGATATTTTCAATGGACGATGAGCACTGTTCTACGTATTACCTTCCAATTCAATTTCAGCATTATTAGCTCTTTGATCCAATAATTTTATCAATTGATCTTTTACTAGAGAGTGTTTCCTACTTTATAATGGTAAATGTCCTTTAATAATCGTAATAATGGTATATATCCTCTAGTAATCGAGCATAAAATACTTCTCAAAAGTATTTGTTTACACTTCAGTGCAGTGGAAATAAGTAAGCTATGAATGTTTAGTTATACTGCGATCTCCTTTCAGAACAGATTAACAGATTTTATTACAAGGTTATGATAATGCTAATTGTTTGGGGGTTAAGGCTTTTAGGTTTCATTCTTGATATTTGCCAAGAACTTTACATATTTCAAGAAAAAATTTAAGAACCAAAGTATACGTGTGAAGTGTACGTATTTTATAGTCTTTCTCTGACTCACAGAATTAGAGATGGGGTAGGCTATGCTCATAAAGTAAAATTTAGAGGGAAAAAGAAATAAAACATTCGCTCGGAAAGTCCTAATACAATTTAAAACATTAATTGACATTAAAGTATTTTAAAGAAAATAATTAGTTATGTGACAAAGGTATTTCATAGAAAATATCTCAAACTTTTGTAATAATTTACGTGATTTTATCAGATTTCAGTAATAGTCTGCGTATTCGGACATGGGATCTCAATTGATGCATTTCGTACTTTTAACACATTTTTGTCCAAAATGTCGTTTACCAGTCTTTTCTTATCAACGACTCAAATATCACTTATCAACGATACTTAAATATCACGATCTAGTCAAGAGCTGCTCAACCAGGACGGCCCAGACAGCCTCTCTCAGCACTTCTCTGCGGACAACCGACGTAAACCGCTGCTTGCTGAGTCAGAAGAACCGTGAAGTGCAGAAGTGCCGTGACCGCAGCAAACTGAATAATTTTTAATACGAGTTATTTCAGTGCGCCAGTAAAAAAGACTGCTGGTATTTTGCAGTTTCAATGCAAATAAAATGTAAATGTACGCATACATCACGAGCAAAATTAGATCGAATGTCCACCTCCAATATTCTCATACCCTCTATTGCGGCCCGTCGTGGCCATTTATAACAATGGGCTCTTTGGAGGGGGTCGCGAGCCCGCTCTGGCCGTTCGCTCGTCCAGTGACTCGCGTGCTGCCCGCAGCCGGCGGCGTCTGACGTGCGCGCGCGCACCCTGGACTGGTACGGCGAGCTGGCCTTCTTCGACCCGGCCGTGGTGCGGCGCTTCGCGCCCAACCCCGACCCGGACCCCGCCAAGCAGATCGGCCACTACACGCAGATGGTGTGGGGCTGGACCTACGCCATCGGCTGCGCACGCGTCGTTTTTGAGGTAAGCCATAAAGACATATGACGTACAGGCACTCACGGTCGCTTCCCACGGCACTACTCCGCTGCGCTACTCAGCGGCGCGACTGCTAGCAGAGCATTGGTTTAAACGGAGGTCTTTAAAAAAGTGGCGGAGTCGCGTTGCTGAGGCGCTCGGTGGCGGACATCCGCCACCATCAGCGCAGAAGCGCGTTCGCGCCACTACTAGCCGAACACAAACCTAAACGGCAGCGTTCACACGAGACGCACTAGTGAACCGGTCTTTGCCTACTGCCGCCTGAGCTCACAGACGCGTGGCTCGCAAATCTTTCTCCGGTCGCGGTCGATGACAATCGGCGATGGCTGTGTGGGAAGAGCTCCGCCGCTTCACGATAACGCCACCGAGCGGCCCCTTGGGAAAGTACGCTAAGAGCCCCTTCCAACGTCGCCACGCAGCAGCGCTTCGGCGCGGAGCAGCTGGTAGCAGAGCAATGATTTAAGCAAGGGGAGGAACGGGGACGACGAACAAAGGGGTGTAGCAGGTAAAGCGCCGCGACCGAATATCCCATTGGGAAGACCACCTTTTAAAGCTGTGTTCTGCTAGAAGTGCTTCCGTGCTGCTGGTGGCGGGAGCCTGCCACCGACCAGTGGCAGGTCGCACTCGCCTCACGTGGGAAGACCTCCGTTTAAACCAATGCTCTGCTACCATATATGGAAAAACGCATGAAAGAGTAAGATGTTTAATGTGGCGACGCTTCCAACTCTTCATTTCGGGAGTTAGTTGACAACAGTTTTTTCAAAAGTTGATCAATTCCCATGTGTGCTTTATTCCTTGGTTTTGTCTGAACCATGCGAACTTCTCGCTTCGAATATTGCATGCAGTGAGCAAGGTCACCGAACTTCGTTGCCTAAGCTTGAGTTATTAAGAAGGAGAGAGGATAGGTGGCGTGCCTTGTAATTTCAGATCTTGAAATTATGAGATCACTCTCATCGATAAGGCAGACCTTACCCTTGCCAACATCCCTTCCCACATTCTTACAAATTAATTTTGTTTTTCACGGGGAGAACGGGGTTGCTACATAATTTTCATCTACAATATGAGAGAACAATGACACTAGCGATCCGCTCCAGTTCATTTAACTCAAATGTATTTTACCAAAGATAATGCTTCGGAGGCATTGCTTCAAGAACAGTTAAAAATCACAGAACCCAATGCTTGGTTTAAATTGAACAAACATACTGAAAACAAAAGGATTTAAATTCATCCAGATACACCGGTGAACAAGGTTTGGGACCAAAGCAAGGAAAATATATAACTTGTCGCTTGCTCTCAACGCCTGTCGTGCTTCCGCTGTGTGTGTGTGCAGGAGCAGTTCCCGGAGGAGGCGGCGCCGTGGGTGGTGGAGCGGCTGGTGTGCAACTACGCGCCCAGCGGCAACTACCTGGGGCAGCCCGTGTACAGCGTGGGCGCGCCCTGCTCGCGCTGCCCGCGCGGCACCGTCTGCAGCGAGCGCTACCCCGGCCTGTGCGCCGCCCCGGCGCCCGCCGCCGCCGGTCAGTGCGCTCCCCACACACGCGATTACGGGCACATTCGCAGCGCACGCCTAAGCACTAACACAAGCCATAGACTGAAGTATTCAAAATGTCCAACATAAATGTAAGCAAAATAACAGTTTCCATTGGCTGTCACACATTCTAGTTTACTATTGGGGATGTGAGAATCGATTTCAAGATATCGACTGTGTCCGTGGCCCATAAGACGTTAGTTAGTCAATCGATTATTTCGATTCTCGGTTTCGAGTTAACGTACCGTGATTGGTTCATTTCTTATGTCTTGAACATAAGCACAGAAGCTTGAAGCTATTACGTGAACGTGTTATGCTTATGCGAACGCATTGTGAATGAGTCCGCTTAAGGGCGCAGTCCTAACTTTCAAGTTAACGCCATGCTTAGGTTCAGGTTTACTTTGTGGATGGGCATTCACTCTTTTACCCGAGCGCCCTCAGCCTCCTCTCAGAACGAGCTCCCCGACTCATGGTTTCTTTAGAGCGGGAGGAGAGATTTCGGTCTGGTCAGCTACCAAGGTCATTAGCCCCGTATGTATAGTGCATTTTACATTCCGACAAGATGGGTGTTTATACCTCGCCGAACGGTGAAATCTCCGTCGACAGCTCCGCAAGTGGGGTTTCCCCTCCAAATATCTCTCCCCTTCAGCGGGGCATCGTCTCACAAGGAATAAGCTCAACGCTCCTGACTGACCTCCTGTCACATGCGACATTGTATTGTATAAAGCCTGTGAGTAAGAGCAGAGGAGAGAACAAGCATGAGCGAGGATAGACCGCGTGTGGTTCATTTGTTAGGGTATTACTCAGGTATTCATGGTGTCTTGAACGGAGGAACCTCCGAAAACTACCAAACAGAGAAGCAGGCTTCTGGAATTCTCGCCCAGTGGTTCATCTGGGCCCAGCTATCCACATATATGCGCAACACAGTCGAGTGTCATTCCTAGTCAACGATGCTGCTGAGACAAGGGAATCGCCGAGCTATTGCAGTCTGTGTTTTCGTCTTCCCAGAATATAGGTTCGTTGGAGGGCGTAACGTTGTTCCGGATTCAGTTCTCTGGAGGGTAGAGAGCGACGCGCTTTAGCCTAGACGAAAGATGTACCTAACATGTCCCGCGTGGGGGACAGTCAAGACGACTCCATCCCAGCCAAATTGGGCGTCCGTGAGCGCTTTCCGGATACGATAAAACTCGAAACGCAAAACACACTTACAGTATCACATATCCCGACTTTTCACGCATTTTCAAGAGAATGAGAGTCGGTCGCTCGGCGGCAGTAATATTCGTGAGAAATCTCTAAAACATTGCGAATAATACTACTGAGCGGCTGGCTAAATCGGAACGACTATCTTCATGTTTAAGTCATGGCAATGATCGCACGTGTTATTTGCATGCCTGCGGCTCACTCCGTTGCGCTGAGTCAAGGATATTGCACGATAATCACGAACGCCAGAGACCGGATACTCTTTGTCACTTGCCGACACGGGAAGCGAAGTGAATCCGTCAGATTTGAGTAATTTTGGCAGCAATAACGAAAGGTGTTATTCACGATGATACAAAGTGTTACGGAGAGTCAAGGATGCTATTTATGAAAGATGCCAAAGCGTTCGAAGGCCGGTGCCTTGCATGTTCGCACAGCGTGTTTTTGTTCACATGGCTTACCCGTCTGCCACAAAAAGAAAACCCACTCCCGCACCCGCCATACATTCAAGTCCCTGGGACGCTTATGATCCCATAAAAATCCGTCAAGTACTAACGGGAGGAATCTCGTTCGTGTGCAATTTACTCTTTGGCAACGAACCCTACAATTGGGAGAAAACATACACTGGCATATCCTTTCCTTCCTCTGAACGGAGACACGAAGCAAGGGAAAGGGTAAAGTATTCCCTATCTCTCAGCAATGCGACCATTATCCAGGGCCTGCAAGACATAGTTTAACCCTCCGAGAAAAAGCGGTACGAAAGGGTTTTAATTGTGTTCTAATTGGGAACACTGAAGTATATTTTGGAACATTATTTTAAAGTGGATATTAATTTTTTGAATGTGGATGATAGTAGTCCGTAATAATAATAATAATAATAATAATAATAATAATAATAATAGCATAATGGCTAAATTTTTGGCGAATCAGGCCTAAAGCCTACTCATCCGTTAAATATTTTCACATTTACATAATTACAATTACATCCTTAAACTGTTTTACTCACCACAACTAATGGGAGGAGCATTTCAGCCATGAACCTGGTGTTATATTTATTGCCGCGCGTTGTTGTTGAAAAACTTCCCAGCGTATTCGAATGCCCTTATCATGATCTGACCCTGAATCCCCTCTGAGCAAATCCCGTGCTGAGCACACCGCTCCCCCTGCATACAATGGGCCGGGGCGCGACGGCCCGCAGGCGGCGCGCAGGGTGATGTAAGGCCGGGAAGCGCCACGCGGCGCGGCGCCTCGCGTGGAGAGGCGAGGCCGCGAGCGCCTGCCCCTGGCAGTGGCCGCCACGCGCGCGCGCGCTTCCTGCTCCCAGCCACACGGACGTCTCGCTCGCGCCTCTCTAACACATCTCTCTGCCAAGGATGCCGGCCCGATTTGGGGCGTGGATACAGCGTGTCTGGTTTGGGACTGGGCGGACAACGCGCGAGCGAAATGGACAGATATTTACTAAATTTAGGGCGGTTGATAGATTTTTGCGTATTTTCGCGCGTGAACGACTATGGTCATTAGTAGTGCATGTTTTATCACGCAAGGTGGCGGTGTTCTTCCATAGCTGAATGGTGAGATCCACGTCGGCGTTTCCCTATCCAGGTATCTCCCTCCAGTGGGACGAGCGCTAAGCTTCCGACTGGTGAGTGAAAGGGGTGATGATGAGGAGGAAAAGATGGCGCGCGTTGTTACGGTGCTGCTTCCGCATTCGCCAGGTATTGAAGGGAGAAACCAGGGAAAACTACCTATCAGAGCAGCGGGTCCCGTGACTTCTCCAGACCGATTGGTTGTGATTAAACTTTGTTTGGAAAATTCGCCGTCGCGCCGGGACTAGACTCTTAGGACCTTCCGCCGGCAGAGATCGGCTCACAGTCAGCATTGCTGTTAACTATATGCTCAAGTCCTATCCGGATGGTACGCTGTCTGTAGGAGAGATTTCGCGGACGGCTGCTCTAATCGGTAGTTTTCCTATTTTCTACGATTAATACCAGACGAATGCCGGAGCTGAACCCTAACGGGCCACGAAATGGCGCGATATTTCCTTCCTCTCCCCTCCCAAGGCCACGCATTACACATGCCGGGAGACCACACGGGAGGGTAGAGTTTATTCTGGGTGTGGCGGTGTACCCCTGGGAGAGATGGCTAGAGGGGAAATCCCCCGATCGCAAACGTGTACCTCGGCGCCGGATCTCACCCTCCCGCTGGCGAGGAAAACCGCCACCTCCTGCGACGTTCACTAGTCCCATTTAAACATCGTCGCACTTCAAGGCCACGAACTGGACGAAGATGGAAGTGCTGACATCCAATCGCAGGCTTCGTTACGACTAAAAATGTTTTGGTTGGATGACAACGCCCCCATCTCATTACAGTTCGTGACCTTGAAGTGCCACTATAAATCGGAGAAACCGCTAATTGATGTGCCCGGAAACGTCAAACAAGCAATCACCTACAACCTCCCGGTCAGTGTCGCTGCAGGGGCATCTTGTTACTGACCCATCGCAGACGGTTGACAGTAAAACATTACATGCGCGGTCACTTAAAATTGCTCGTTGTGTTCCGTTCCAGCGGGCAACGACAGCGCGGGCGCGGGCGACGCCCTGCAAACGCTGCTGCAGCCGGCCTCCCAGGCGGCGACGGAGTTCGCCAGCGACGAGGACGTGGTCCTGGACGGCGCGCGGGCGCTCGAGAACGGCTCGCGCCCCTCCGAGACGTACAAGGTCTCTGGCCGGCGGCGCACCTCGCGCCAAACACGCCTTCACACCCAACACAAATAGAGGCCAAATTCTTCACAATACCCGCCTCCGAAATACTCCTCGATTGTAACAAACAAATTCATTTGGAGTTGGGTTGGCTTCCTATTTAATTTTTTCTGCAAGTTTCGGCAAAATTTTATCGCAAATTTAAGACTATTCCCTCTGTAATGCATTTTCAACTTCAACTTTCAACACAATCCACATCGAAATCGAGTCAAAGGCAAATTACCAAGTCAATTCTACGTAATCTCTCTTCATGACAATTCGAACTACTTTCTTCTCCTACTACACACCTAAAATTCAATCATGATGCGTGAGCTAGTTACCTAAAGGTTCACAGATCTAAATCAAACTATAAACAATATTGTTCATCATCTGCAGCCAAGGACTTAACTGGCCAAAGGCAATGTGAATACTCAAAAAAAATCTCTGGTGGCAAGAATGATCAACTTTTAGTGCAAAACAACCGTTAGACATATAGCAGCTAAGCACGTCTTTAGATGACTCAAAACGATGCAAACCATGAATGCACCCTGGTCAGGAGTGTACAATGCTTTAGCGATATTGGCGGAATCGTCACTTAGCATTCAGGAATGCTAAAACTTGCTTTTAAGTTATATTTAGGATGCTTCCGTATACTGAATTAAAATCCACAAAATATTCACAAAATTAGTGCATTATATATATTAGGGTTATGTTGTAGACAACTTTGCCTATTGTACAGCCAGAAGATCTGATTCAGAATTATTTTCATTAGAACTATATTGTTTAGATCCTGGTCCTGGATCTGCAATTATTAAAATTCTTGTGCGTAACGTGTTTTGAAGAACAAAAACGAAATAATGAATGTTTTAAACGGCAAAACAATATAAGATTCCACTTCGGTCATAAGGAGCTAATATAATATGATCCTTGATAAAACATTCCAATCGTTCACAATACGGGCCAAGATGCCAAATGGGAAGATGTGTCATTTTCTGCGTAAAAGGAATATTCACTATCGTTGTAGGTGACTGTTGGTAATCATTTACCCTGTCCATTAACTCTGAAAATAATCAGGGATGATAAAATGTTTAAGAAAGGCCAGAATTTAATTTTGATTTTTAAGATCTTTACTTACATTTTAAAACAATGTTTTAAATTCTTGGTGCATGATATAGATCACAGAAAATACGCGCGCTCTTTTAATCTTCTTTCTGTCTACGTTGCGCCGTAAGTTTGAAAGACATTACAAACTAATAAGTTTCTGAAAATAGTCTACGTAGCTTTAGCCATGCTTTAGCATTTTTACTGTACTTCAATTTACATCATAATTAAATTAAACTAGTAAGTTTTATTTTTTTCACAAACGTTACTTTTTAAGACTACATGGAATCGCCGGTTTTACTTCCCCAAGTGAGAATATGTCGTCGCGTGTTGCAGGCCCCCTTCGAGCTGGAGGAGTCCCCAGACGAGCAGGCAGCCGAGAGCCGCGCGGCGGACGACCTCCCGAAGGCGGGAGCGGACGGCGATGCCGACGACGGCGAGGACGGCGACAGCAACCAAGGCGGAGAGGACGATGACGGCAACGACAGCAAAGCTAGCGAGGGCGGCGAGGCCAGCGACGGAGGCGAAAAAGACAGAGACGGGGGGACAAATGACGGCGGCAACAGTGCATCCAAATGGGAGAGGCTTTTGCCCCCCGGCGCCCGGCCGGCGGGACACTACTTCTACTACACCTACAACTTGGGCGCCGACAGCTCCTCTCTGTAGCGCAGAGCGACGCAAGCTCCGCGGAAGGCCCCTGTACCTCGGCACCGAGAGGAAGCACTTCCAGCCCTCCTCCGCATTCGCCGAGACAAGGACCAAATGGGCTGCACAACTACGTTGAGCGACTAGAGAGAAGGGGAACCCAAGATGGCAATCCCCATGCGGGGCCCGCCTTACTTCAGTGTACAGGTAACGCACAGGTGTTATGGGAAGAGCTCTCAGGAGAACAGAAATTTTGCAACAACTCAACAAGTTGCCGAACAGGCATGAACCTCACGAGAACACGCCTATGCCTCCAGTGGCGTAGATCAAGAACGATACGGAGAGCTATCGAGCCTTCTTGTAGTTCGTGTTGTTTTCAAATTTTCTCATTTACCGGAGACAATCTTTCGGTTGTTTTATGTCGAGATAGATACGTGAACAGAAAAGAGACGCGTGATCAGCAACGAATCAAATGTTACACATTGTACGCGGTCCTTAAACGTAGCGGGATCGTCTCAAAAGAAGGATGACCGTGAACTGAAGGAGGACTGAGACAAACTGGGGTGGTAGAACTCACAACTTTATGCGAATAGCATACATATTGGATTTAAAGCCTACACAACTAAATCCACCTCTTGAAATAAAATGTAATTATTATGTATGCTAACAGAATAGCTGTTGAAAGAAGGGTCCACATCAGATTGTTCAGTCTATTTTTCAGTGAGAGTACACTGCACCACCTTCAAATTCCTATTTTGGGAAAGAAAATAAATGCGAGCAATGAAAATATAACAAAACAAACAGTTTTATCACAAAACTATGATGGATAAGGAAAACATCTTCTTTAGCCTACTTGATGCTGATAATAAATTATTTTTCTATATTTTGTTGGTTTTTTAATATTATTTTTACATTTACTGACCTCTGCAAATCGAAGTGGCGGCGCCGTGTTGCTGCCTAGTTGGCATAATTATCAAAATGTTTCGCCAGAAAGGATTCCCTGAAGATGAGCTCAATTGGAATTATGTTTCATAAAACCATTAACAGATATTTCTTGAGATTTTTCTCCCCTTTACTACTTCCACCCTCTCAAAAAATGACAACAGTGAGTCTCTCTAATATAACTATAAGAGGAGAATCTGACATACCAAAGCAGAGATATGACAACAGAAGCAGAAAAATTTAACATTTGAATGAAGATTCCTATTACGATGTACGTAACAAAAACGGAAAGATTTCTTAAAATCCGTCCTCAGTAGAACACAATAAGGATGGCAGAGATGGCGAATAGGTGAACGATAAGATGTAGGATGAGGCAGGAAGAGGTGAGATTGGGTGAGACCAGGTGAAACGGGGGCGGGGCCGGGAGGTGCGTTCTAGTCACAGTGAGGAGAGACCGAGCGGGACTGCGATGTAAATAAATTTACTTCCATATAAAACTATTGACATTTTCATTCCTTCTCATGTCTAACACATTATTATGATAAATAAATACTAGGGAATGCTGGGCTAGTTCACCTCCTTAAAACTTTCATTTAAACATGGCAATGAATTCTACTGCAAGAGATTTTGAGGCCTAGAACACAAAGTAGTGTTTCTCATTGACCCTGCAAGGTTTCACTTCTTATCAAAATGTCATGGTTCTCTTCACAACTCCTGGTAATGGTCTACTATTTTCTCCAAAATCAAAGTTTATCCAATTTCTTATGTAAAATTTTAATTTTGAGAAAATATTATTTGGAAAAAAGTACAAACTAAGTAAAAGGAATACAACTTTATTGTGAAGGAGGACACAACTAACTTTAAGCTATTTTTAAGAACAACAGCAATTGAATAAGTTATTTCAAAAAGGCCAAATCTCCAATTTGTGCAAAAATAAGTTAAGCTCAAGTTTTATTCTGAATATACTTTTAGTTGAAACTACTTATTAATACAATTTATACAGGTGTGGTTCTCTGTTTACTTCACATAAGCTGCTTCCATGGAGGGGAGTTTTTCCATGTTTCATGTGCAGGTCACACAGCTGATGGAGATGTGACCTTTTTGAACTAAACAATTCAATTAGATATAATATGTCTAATGAAATATATTATCAAAACATTTAACATGTATATATTTGTTATTCAGTGCACATGAATCTCTAGCTCAGGTACAAAAAGTCCACCATGTAGTCAAAATCAAATGTGTATCACCAAAATATATATATCACCAACCCACGATATTTCTTAGGCATGATAAACTCAAAACAAATATCCTAGTTTATGTTATTTTTTTTTTCTTCAAACCGTTACATAATGTACAATTACATGATGCAATTTTTCTCAAATACTAAATATTTTTTCTCTAGAAAAAAGAAAAAAGTAAGACAATCGCTAAAAAGAAATCACACCCACTTTATTGTCCAGTTGATTATATTGTCTTGTAAGAGGCCAAACTGGACTGGCCAAAGAGGACAGATTGGTCAAAAGAAAGAATACCCAGTGCAGTTTTGAAAAAAAAGCTGTAGGCAATGATGATTACAAATGAGTAAATAAAGGCTACAATACCCAACTTCACGACAGAAATTAAAATAAATACCTAAGCAAAGAATACTGAAACCAATGAGATGCATGACAATTAAAAAGGCAATAAGATATAATAATAAATACTGAAAACTTCACAATGTTATCTTTTGTGGATAGCATACAAATATTCACTATAATTGAAACAGAAAAATTAATTAAAAACAATTCACGAGTGTATTTCAGCTAGTGCATACTCGGTTTTGCTGTTGTAAATGTTAAATCTACTTTCCAGGCCCAAGAGTTACAAAAGTAAATATATTTTGTGTGAACTAAATAGAATGCAAGACAATTTACACAAATTGTTAACATCATCAACATACATTCACATTATATACATATTAGTATCAAAACATTATCCCATCTACAGTTTGTTTTCAACATTCACTTCAGATGATAGATACCATTCATTTTAATTATTACCTAAAGTAAATTCCAACAAGTAAAATGAGTGAATTCACATTCTGAAATTCTTATAAACTATTACAATTGCTTGTTTGGGATTTAAGTAGATCCTGTGTGAATTGCTTCTCAAATGTTGTAGTAACCATTACATACCAAAGCAATGAACTTCAACAATTTTTCAGAATTTTTGGAAAATAGAAGAAAAATACAAGAATAGAAGAATTAACATGAATGTAGAATGCTTTAAATTCTGTTTTATCAAGAGGAACATTTTGTCCAAGAATGAGGAAAACATACAAGGAAAATCTCTTAACAGACAAGAGGCATTATCAGAGCAAATTCAATTAGCATTACGAATCTACAAAAGTCTTGCAAGGTAAAAACTGTTCAATGTGCTTCAAGCACTGTGCTACAGTTTGTTTCACACTATAAGATGAATCAACATGAACAACAGGAATATCATCCATATTTTTGTAAGCTGCCAACACTCTGCAACAAAAAGGATTTGGGAGCATTTCACCATATTGTTCATAATTCATTCATATAGCTGAATAAAACGGTTTCCCAGAAACAATTGAAGCAGAAATATAACATCCGTAAAAATAATGACACTATCACGTAATTTAATAGTGTTGAACACAGACAACCTCACAAATGAACTTTCTCAACACTTAGGTTGAAGAATAAAATCGTAAATGAACAGAAAAAACTTATTAATACTAAATAAAATAATGGTTAACGAATTACAATTCACATGCAAAAATAGTCATCATAAAGTAATTTATAAACATATCAAAATATAAAACTTATAAACTTGAAAATTTAAAAATCTCATGCACCAGAATATCATTTTCATTCACAGCAATCATAAGATTGTTTAAAAAAGATGTAGTTCTTCACAATGAGAATAATAATGAAAAGGGAAACAAAAGTGTTTTCTTCGCAGATGTAATAAAAATAGTTTTTTTTTTATTAAAATGGGGTTTAGATTTTTGTTTTAGGTAATGTATTGTAAATAACGAAACAAGAAAAGTACACATCTTTCCGATAAGCAACTGTTCACACTAAAATTTTATGAAAATTTTACAATGAATAGTCCTGTACACAAGTAGTAACGTATCTTTACAAAATAATTTTTTTTATCACACATTAAACCTACAACAAATAAATTCTCTTTTTAAAATCAATGATTGACAAGTAAGTGTCAATACAGGAACTGCAGAATTCAGAATAGGAAAGACAATGTATTGGGTATTTCATCAAACAGACTGGCTAAAATTTTGAAAATGAGAATTTAACAATTATTTTATAAATTTTACTGCAATCTAAAATTCTAAAAATGTTAAAATTATTCAGGCAATGTTTCTGATGTATAAAAGCAAAACAGAACTACATGTTTGATGAATGACAATATCATTTTTTTTACATATATGTAGTTTTGAGTTTGCAAATTAGAACTTAAATTTTTCAATTCTAGAGAAAAATTGTGTTTTTAACTTGTATTTGAGTTGACAAACAATAACAATGGGTACATTACTTTGATGGCAAAAAAGATTAAACTATCTTTTGAGAAAGAAAAGGAGAAAAATATCCCAAAGTTTATGGGATATCGAGCATTTTGGCACAATTTGCACATCTGGTGGACAATGTCAGTAACAAGTACACAAGAGCTTCCGCAGCTACAGTTCATAACGTTGTCTGGGTGACGCCGCATCGTTGGTTGAGAGGCCAACATTTACATCACTATTCTGAGGAAGGCTGCAACATGACAGGCAAAACATCAGCCTCTCAGCCAACAATGCGGTGTCACCTGGACAGTGAAATCAATGTCAGTAACATCCCAGGGGCATGTGAAATGCATAGTGAAAATCAAAATGCACCCTTCAGTATCTTATAGTTGATGATATTGACATTTATCATCTGGAACTGAATGGTTGTGATGGTACAACTCATAAATGGTGTAAAATGCTTAGAATACGTAAAAATAGCTTAATTCACTTCAGTAAGCTAACATTCAGACATATGTCCTGAAATGGACAGACAACAGGAACGGTGTCATGGGTATCACATGACTGTCAGCGACAGTGTCTGGGATAATCCACAAACAACTGTCCGAATGTGTGCAATTACCATTTATATATTTTAAGGCAATTGAATTAGATCCAATTGATATTAATAAAACTGATCATCGTAAAGACCTGCACTTCTTGCAGAGCTTCTGGATAACGCCAGAGAAATCCTGCCAGGACAATGAGCTCCAGATCTGATTATATAAGAAGGCCTTCTCAGACCCTCGTGGCAGCTGACATTATGAAATAGTAGTTTTGTAATGAGGTTTCCAGTTGTTTATTTCCTAAAAATGTTCTTTAAAGAAGCACAGAAAATAAGATGCTAGTGAACTTCATTGCGAACGGAACCCAGTCTAAATGAGTTGATTGGGAAGGCTATGGGGTGAATCTCAAATTATTGCAGCAACGTATTAGTGTTGAGTTCTAATTATTTCGTAAAAAATAGAGTACACTGCCTCACATGCATTTTTGTTACATATACAAACTTTACCAACTTCCAGAAACTATGTGTATGCCAACAACATTTATACATGCATATAACATCCAAATCTTTCAAATGTATTAAATGTTATGAACACACCATTTTATTATTCTTACAAATTTTTTGTGTTCAGCTAACAGCAGAAAATGTTGTTCTTAGACCAGGAGTACGTCTTAGCACTCATGAAAACTAGCACCATGCAGGGATATGTGTAGTATTATATTCTGGTAGAAACAATACATACTGTTCAAAAACAAAAATGTACTATTCTACTAATATCAATACTTAATTGATAGCCTACTTACAAATTTCGAAAAGCTTCATCCTTTACCAACTGCTCTTCCTCTTTGGTAGTCTCGCCACGCTTTACGCGCCTGGCATGGCGAATATTTCTTGTTTGTTCCGTAACATCCAGAAACAATACCAAGTCAGGTTTTATGAGATCTTCTGGCCACTTGTACACAGGATCTCCAGCAGATGGAAGAGAACTGAGTTGTTGTCCATCACATTCCTGAGCCAGTGCATAGGCAGCTGTACTGTGCCAAAACCTACCACAGAAAATGCAAATGAATATCAAAAATTTCTTTTCGTTTCTTTCTTTGGCATTCAGACATATGAAGATGGATTTATTTAATTTTTTATTGTTAAAAAACATTTAAAATGGTATTGGCATATGAGGGAGAGATATAACCTGCACAAAATAATCTCTATTTTACTTTTTTACTATACAGAGTTAAATCATAGAGGACAGACTGTAATAAGAAGACAATACAAGTAAAATCTTTCTTGTAAGGTTGAATTTTGAATAAAGATACCAGAAGAGAGTGGTTGCCAACATTTGAAAACCAAACATTTTAACTTCTTGTAATAGTAAAGGTATTTGCATTAGCAAACCAATATTCAGATTTGATTTCATAGCATTGTTGATAAAACAACCCCTCTCATCCCATTCTGTCCGACTTCTCATGCAAACAGGAAAGACAGTAACTCAGCAACTTGGTACCATAGAGGCATGATATACGCTACTTCTCCTTTAGGTTTGATTCGTTTCAAATTGAGAAAAAATAAAGGGAGATCAACAATCAATGATCAAAGAATAAGAACCACTTATAGGGCCAAGTCGGAAAAAGAAATACTGAAGCAAAGACAGAAGGATTTATGAAACTTGAGAAATATAATTAAATTTGTTTTGCTTTTCACAATATATATTTTTCTTATACTTCAATATACTTTTTGGGAATTACATATTCTACATGTATTACATATACTTGGTGCATAGTCAAAAGGTCACATTTGGCCATTTTAAATTTTCACACAAGTAAAAACATAAGCTTTTGGTTGGTATAAATAGGCTTATATCTGGAAACAATACTTGCTCCCAGACATTCCAAGTCTCTAATACCAAACAAGTTTGTGTTGTTCTTGTCAATGTTGTGTGAAAAACTTAAAAACAACAAGAATGAAATTACTTACAAATTGTAAGTATTTTCAATCATCATTCAACAATGTACAGAAAAAGGATGGCTAAGAATTCTGGAGCTCGCGAAAACTTCTGCTGATTATGCTTCTCCACTGCACATCACATATAATTTTTAACTATTTTTTCAATCAAAATATATCAAATCGCAGATTGTTATAAAATTATTTCATGAAGACTAACTTAAAATATCGCGACGTGAGCATTTTCAAGAATTCTCAGGTAGGCAGGAGTACAACAAACCCCTTACTCTCCAGTAATCAGCTACGTTATTATAGGATTTTGTTATTTAGATATCGACATTATTAGATATGTTAGTTAGGTATGGTCTGTGAAATCGAAATGTCTTTCCAAAGGGTTCCAGATTCAAATTCTGCCACAACTCTATCTGTCAGGTTAGTTGTTTAAATTTAATGAGTGCATGATGTCTCAGAAAATGTGCTGTGATGGTCCAGTGACTTTAATGAGTATGTAACTTTATCAGAGTATAAAAATTTCAAGCAAACAAACAGTGATTTTTAAATGTGTGAGAGAAATAAATGCACAAAAAATTGTTACAATTAAAAACACAATTATTGTGTTTAATAGTTATTTATTAGTTAAGTTTATTAAAGTGAATATTTACATATATCCATACACTCGAAACAGATTCTTACCACACTTGGCAGACATATTAATATTATTAGTATGTATTGAAACATAAAACAACAAAATGATTTCACAAGACAATCATAAGCAAAAATTAAATGTAAAAATAATTTATAATCAGAGAACAGTAAGTCTTCTTACCGATCAAGAAAAACTGGTTTTTCCTCACAAATATCTAGAATTTCTTTAGCTGCAATGTAATTGCCAAGGCTATAGTAAGCCTTTCGCACTGAAGGTTGGTAACCATCAAATATTTTACGAATATCTGAAATTGATTTGGGAGGAGTAGCTAGCATGGCACCTTTATAAACCTTTGACACTGCTTTAGCAATTGTGGATTTCCCTGAAAGCAAACAAATGCAAGAAACCAAACATAGCATAAAGAGCATTATAAAAATTCAGCAGTAAGGCGTGATACTCACCTGATCCATCTAAACCTTCAAAAACAATGAATACTTCTTTTCTTGGCACATTTGAAAAATTTACCTCTCCTTCCGGAAATTTGTCATTAAAACGTTTAAGAAGTATTTCAACTCCACGCAAGGAATTAACCTGCAAATTGAAATACGATTCAACAATCACTTCACACTTATCTTTATTCTACCCATTAGCTTGTGAATACTTACTTGTTCCGCTTTCAAAACCCGTAGGATTGAATCTGCTGAATGATACACTGACTTCACATGCATTTCTGACGCATTTCTATTCTCGCACATCTAAAAAGTTACAATACATTAGAGAACGTGGTCCAGAATTAAAACAAGAGAAATTTCATTTAAATAATCATAAAAATGTATTATTTTTCCTAAATACAAGTGGAATATTGTATTTCGTAAAACTGTACCATACTATTTAATGACGGCGGGTGAATTAACAGGCTATCCAACTTTATGACACTATTCGCCTACTGAAGCTGCACGTCAATGCTGCATTTTTCAATATGGACTATTGCACAATATTACTTGTTTTAAAGGACTACATATTTTGCAATCTACAGTACTTTATGCCCAAAATTCTCATTTTAATAGCAAACTCGTTCAAGAAACAATAAGAAAGCACCATTAATTACATGGCAATATATACTGTAGTAGGACACGTTACAATACGGATCACGCGATTATTTTCAAAATCCAAAACATGAGCAGAGTTTGATATATCACTTCTGATCACTGACGATCGTTAAGAGAAATGTTTCAATGGGCTGTTTAATTTCACGAATTCGCTTTTTTACGAAAGGAACAGTCTAAAGCCAGAAATATAATTTGTTCAGAATAACGTGAGAATGTGTTCATCTTACATTACATTACGTAGAATACAATGTTTGCTCTTTAAAGTATATGCAATTATCTCACCTTGAAACGTTGTAAATATACATATAATTTTGGGTTCTAGTCCGATACTCAAAAATATACACACTGGTACACATACGTCCCAATCGCAATGCAGTATCACGAGCTGATCACGAGGTCTGATATGTCATCAATCACCTTCATTAACCTCCACCCACAATGCAACGAATAGAATTTCTCCTCATTTGCGAATAATTTTGTGAATCCCAGGCAAGTATCATGGTCGAAGAATACATTGATCGATATAATCGAGGGCTATTTCGATTTTTTAATGTAATACAATAGGAAGAAATGTCCTGAATTAAAAAAAGAGCTGCATACTTCGTACCTTTTATCATTTCTGCTCTTATATTATGATGGGAGAATTTTATTTAAGAAAAAAATAGAACATGTGTGTGTGCGCCGCGCACGCGCGCGCGTGCGTGCGTGCGTACGTGCGCGCGCGCGCGCGTGTGTGTGTGTGTGTTGTGTGTATGCCACAGCGCTCTATCTAGTGGCATTTACAGCATCTAGTGCATTTGCGATTGACATGGCAGTACGAGAACGCGCGGCATCTAGTGGCTAATTCTTGAACCACAAGCAGTACATCAGTTAGGAAAATGTCTCTTACACGCTTCACGAATGTGAAAGGTTTGAATTTCAGTTTTATTAAAATTTCTAATTATCTTCATCCATATTCAATATGCTCATGAATTGTTTAGCCCATATTTACAGTTATTTAGCCGCAAGGCAGTTGAAATGGATCCTCTAGAAGTTCTTGAATAACAAATTGGATTTAGGTTTATTTAGTCAAAAAACAGTAAAAACTGTATATAATGTATGGAACAGACAAATGATCTGCGCACGTTTTCTAAATAAACTAATTCAAATAAATATTGCGGAAATAAATATACGTTCATGCACTGATGTTAAAACATATGAATGAGTTTCTTATAATTGGACTTGGAGAAATTTATATTGTTCCGATTTGTTATAAAAATTATAAACCTATTGCTATGAACATTAATGTAGTATTTCATTAGCCCACTATCTACTCAAAAATGTATTTACGACGACAGTAACAATTGAATGAATAGTATATGCAGTGGCGTCGCGCGGATGTCAGCCACCCTGGGCGAAGGAAAATTTCGCCGCCCCCTTATTTAAATATTTCAATTTAAAATACTGAAATATACTAAATATCGCATAAAAATAATAATATATATTTAATATATATTCTAAAGAACTTTTCGGGAAAGAACCACCATCATTTTTGTGTACTGTGCAGGTTACAAATAAAAAAGCCATTTATAGATGTTTTACAATACAATAATCACATTTATTACATTTATGTTCGTTATTCGTTATGTTTATTTTTGTTATTACATTATTTATTATGTTTATTATTACGTTATTTATTATTATTAAAAGTTCTTACATGCATACCATTTATCTTAATATAACAGGTACAGAACACTTATGATACCTTGACGTATATACCTTGACGATCGACAAGATTAGTTATTAGCGAATTGAATGTAGAACACAAATCGACTTCCAATTAGAACTAGAACGATACTGTTACTATTTATATTTTTATTTAAAAATAATATAGTTGTTAGAATTAAAAACAAAAAACCTGTCATTAACTAAATCTTTATTCGTCTACTTTCTTTAAGGGTAATGTTTTTTATTGCACTATCAATGTCTATAGCATCACATATCTCTTGCACAATAGACAAGATAGCTTGGTTAGCCTTAAAGTACTCATTGTTTATTTTAAATTATTTTGATTAATTTCAGTTTTGAAAAACTCCTCTCACAGCTGGCTGGAATTGTTTATGGCAAATGGGGATATTCGGAGCATTATTATAATATTGTAGAGAGAATCTTCCAGCTTGCATTTCTCCAAAAAGTTTAGTAATTCGCATTTATTCATTTGTTTTCGTTACCTCTGGAAGCAGAAAAGGCCGTAGTCAAAGTTGTTCGAACCTGAAGATCTGCTCGTCAGTTTCGGCAGATGCGTCTAGATTACATTTAGAATTGTCCGAATCTAGTAATACAGCCGGCGTTAGATAAGCAAATTTATCCACCAAATTCTGCAGCTGCTGACAACGCTCACAAATTTTTGCAGATATTCTATATAACGAAGACAAAAATATGAAATAAAATGGTTAAAATTCACTCAATATATTATTTATTGTGAATTGTTGCCCGCCTCCTTAAATGTGCCGCCCGATGCGGGTCGCCCCTGCCCCTCCACAATGCTGCGCCACTGAGTACATGTATTTTAACATTTGTTTCCATAATCCGTGTATTATTTTATATTTAAAATATTGTATCGTTGTTTACTGTACTGTTTTGTTTTTTCCATTTAATTTCAATTGGTCCTCCACTCGGAATTTGGGAAAGACATCACAATATCCAGTTAAAATAATAGGACAAGCGGTTGAATCAGAAAACTGTCAACTAACAGGTGAAAGTGCAGTGAATTGAGTGTCTCAATTCATGCGGCAAAATCCTCTATGAGAAGAACAAGTGTTTACTACGATTTTTGCTGAGTACGCTTCGTTAATGTACAGCAGTTTCTGGACGATTTCTCTTCTTCTATAATGTCCATAATGTCGAGCTCACAATGAGTCGAGGCTCTGAGAAAATTGACGGAGCAAAAATCTACTTTTTTCAGAGACAAGAGAAATGAAAATTTGTGCGTTATCGAAGGTGGGATGCATATCGTGAGAGCCCTGCATCGAGCGCGACCCTGCGATAGGCCGTCAAACACTTAGCCCGCAGCAAGCCGTCATCATTGCTGAGTACTTGCTGTTTGGAAATGAAATTATTGACATCCCGGTTTAGCAACCGCGCTCCGAGTCTTAGAAATACGCGCTAAGTTCTGCTGACGAAAAGTTCCCGTGAAATATACGCTTCTGAGGACAAAACGGCGAAGCAATCATTTACGCTAATATAACATACATTCACACACACACACAAACACGCTGCATATTCTTTTTTACCGTATTAAATGACCCACTCTATAATTCTAAAAGTTAACATCTGACTTCCTTTTTTTTATTAAAATTGATCTAACAGCTTTTTATTTACTGAGCTATTAAATGCGAGTTGTGAACACTGCCAAAAACTGATTATTGCTTAGTCAGAGAAACTATTGTGTGAAAAATTGTACTTCAGCTTCTGGGCAATGACCTCCTCAGGTTTCGATCAGGTTTCTCGACCAGATTCCTGATCTTTTGAACGTATGTTGAGATGACCTCTTGTTTTGCTTCGGGACGTAGACGTAATTTTACTGTCTGCCAACGTTTCCTGGAGTACAGTGGAGAACATACTTTTCCAAATTCGTTCTCCATGTTCTCGCGGCAGTACGTGCATTGCTGCACAAAGGACACGAGGCCTTATAGTGAATTGGTTTCACTTTTCCATTAATCGAATATAGAATGAATTTACTTATTGGGAGAAAGTAAAAACTTTAATTTAATATTTGTTCAGGACCGATTATTCTATTATGTACACCATAGATTTAAATAAAGCGATTTTCTGACAATATTAAATTAAAACGCTCTGAAATTCAAAATAAAATATAACACTTGTTCATAAAAACTTACACAACATTGTTTTTTAATTGATATCGAGCTAAATCCATAATTTTAAATATCACAAAATATCAATAAATATCAATAAATGAGGATCACAGTGACCCCTCTGATAATTCCTACCTGCGTACATGTATGAGAACTTCCTGACTCATGTTGTACGTAATATTTCATGAAAGTTTAGTGATGTTTATGCTTGTAATTTCTAATAGCAATGCTTAATTGTAATTTAGTTGTTAACGCGTTCTTTAAGTAGTCACCTCGGGCATACGCAGCCTAACACTACAGGGGAACTGTATTTGTTGGACCCCCTTGTTAGCTGAATCTTATTTATACATGAAATTCCACTTATACAACGATTTTCGGTTAAATTTTTTAAATTTTTTAAAATATACTTTTGGGGGGATGGAGGAGCTCGAGGAGGGATGACGCCGACTTGGCCGCATTGTTCGGGGGTGTTTCGTGTCTTTTTCAACATTTTTAGTGGTTTTCGATCGGTTTGTGATTTTCTGATAGGTTTTTAGAGGTTTCTATTGGGATATCAAGTCTAAATTGGTCAACTTTCAAGGATAGATTTGAAACTTTGAAGTGGCTGCCCCGAATTTTTCCGTTACTCTGTATGTATAGGTAATTTCAATTTGTAGCTTGTGTGAGTACGACCAGTGCGTGATAACGAACAAATCATATTCAAGGAGTAACGGCTTATGTTACCAATGAAAGAGTAAAACACTTCGGACGAAGTAACATTTCAGCTCGTGCTCTCAAATTCATAAATCGTAACAGAGACGGTTATTTGTTTCAATGCTTCAATTGATGAAGCGCTCAAGGTCACTTCACACACAAGGTAATTCTTTGAACAGATCTGTCATAATTTATAACAATTATCTGCGAAGTAACTTTGGAGTTGCGGTGGTTGGGAATTGCAATACCGGGATTCGCACATTATTTTCACTTCACATTCTTCATTACATCAGCTGCGACACGGGGGTCATGTTTATAGAATATCTCAGAATAAGGTTGACACTCGTATTGGGTATTTATAAGGGATTGATTGATTAATTCATTGATTAATTGATTCATTGATTCTGGGCACTACTATAGTTCTCTGTCAACTACTAAAGTCGTTAGTCCCGTAAGCGTAGTGCGTGTTTCATCGCGGGAGGCGGCTGTGATCTTCCCCGGCTGAATGGCGAGGTCCGACGCCGCCCGAAGTCGGC